GATATGGGTCCGTTCTTATTGTGCATCCATGGGTAAAGATAAACGCATGTAGTGCTGAACACGTAACATGAACGTGCCGGGCGGCGCGGTCCCGTGGGTTAGATGCGCGTTCATAATGCAGAGGGAAATAACTCTCAGAATAACGTTATTAGCACATTTTACAACTTGAGGAACGAATGTTTTTAATAAGGGCTATACAAGTGTTCATACTGGGTAGTTTATTTAGTTTAAAAAAAATTATCCAACGATTTACAGACCACTCTTTCCCCATGTAAGTCAATGGGAAAAAGTGTTTCCGGGCCTGGCAACCAAAAGGAAGTGTAGTACCGCCGTTTGGCCAGCACGAATATTTTCATCAGAGTCCGGCGCACTTCCTGGGGGCTTGATAGATTGGCTCAGTGAAAGGAAACACACCATGATTTAACAATATTGCGTCAAATGTTAAGATCTGGTTCAATTTGGGAGTTTGACTCAAAATCCTAAAACAACTTTGTCGGAGTAATGGATTTCATGTAACAAGATTATCAGAGATGGAAAGTAATCAGGTTACATACATTTTATATTCAGACTTTCTTCTTCGATTTATGACTTTTCTGAGAATTTGACTTTTTTCTAAGAATTTCTTATTTTTACTGAGAATTAGATTTTTATTTTAGAATTTTTTGTTTTACGAGAACTAGATTTATTTTTATTTCTATTAGATCTTTATTTTTTCAGGATTTCAGTATTTTCTCAAAATTAGATTTTTTCTCAGAACTTGACTTTTTTCCAAAAAATGACTTTTTATGGAGAATTTAAAATGTTTCCCAGAATCACATTTTCTTTTAAATTATATTTGACTTTTTTCCCAGAATTACTTTTTTTTAAATGTAATCTCAGAACAATAGTTAAGAAGGACCTACATGTAGAAATAATACCAACATTTTGCCCATCAGCATTCAGGATGAAGGGATAAATGTGTGGTTCTAGTCTCTATCAGACTGTGAGTCTTTATTGCACTCTGTCGACTCGAGAGGTTTCAGTTCGTCTTTGCCAGATTCTCTCCTCACACCAGCTGCCGTTCTACCTCCAATCCTCCCTTCTGTTTTAATTAACTCCAATGATCCGTCTGCTCCTGTGTTCTCATGGCCCCTCAAACTGAGAACTTTCCCCATCACTGTGGTTTTAAGGAGCAGAAATAACCCTTTAGACATCTGGACAGACTCTTGCTCTTGGTTTTCCCTCCCTGTAAAATAATGTTTATTTGCTTCTTGACAAAAGTTAAGGGTGAAATGTTTGACAGGAAATGCTTTAATTTCTAAGTGCCAGTATGTGTCCTGCTCATTCTGTTTTGAAATGAATACGAGTATGTCGAGTGCATTTTCCCCGTCTTCTACCGTTCTTGTTGGAAACTGTTATATTAATATAAAGTGAAGACGTTCAGTCTGGACTAGACTCGCTTTGTTAGAGCCTTTTTCCTTTCATCATTATGGTTTGAATGTGTTGCTTAATAATATAAGGCTTTAGAGTAAACTCTTAACTATTTGTTTTTGTGAGTCGCACTACGGTTTAAAAGATGTTAATTTAAGCCTCACTTATTTGTTGTCAGGTATGCCGTGCATGTCTATATGCCTATATATGGCAGGAACATGGTTCACAGCTGAGTTTGTGATTAGACGGGAAGCGGTAGAGTCTTCTGACCGTGTTCTTTTTGTTCTGTTTTGATACGGAGAACTTGACGTTACTTTGAAGCGAGGACGTTTGTCTTCATGTTTGTATGCCGCCTTGATCAAAGAATACATCTGATGTGATTCAACGATACAACGATCTCCGCAAAGTTAGTTTGGAAACAAAGAGAGGCGCGACATAACCCACAACCCCGATAGAGGAGAGTGGACATTAAATGTAGAAACTGATTAAAACACCACGACACGGTTTGTTCTTCATTCTAAGCTTCTATGAAACAACAGTCTCAGAGCACGTACACCAATGACTCTGTTTGGTTTCATTTATCAGTGGTAATCACAAGTGCCTGCCTGTTGTTGAGGGGGAACATCCAGCTGCCAACTGAGTGGATCTCCAGTAGTTATGTTACGTTTGCGAACGATCAGATTATTTTGAACGGCTCTTTGGTACGAACGAAGGGAACCAAGTACACTGCCTGCCATAAATCCACTCGCCTTTACGTGAACAGTGAAAAAGCTTGATTATGTTCCCCAAGAGTATTCCGTGAAGACCCGCCCCTACTCTGATTGGTTAGGTTTAGGCACGAGGAGTGAGATGTTGTGGGTCAGGGTTAGCCAATCAGAGGCAGAGTAGGGGGGTGGGTCTTAACGGAATACGCATGAGAGAGAGAAGTCGTAACAAGTGGTACAGGTAGACGACATGAAAACGTAGCAGCATTTGGAAGATAATCTCCACCGCCACACAGCATCCGACGGTGCAAGTGGCCGAGTTGAGACAACAAGGTTCCAACAATCATTATCCTGGTGATTATTTCGCAGATAAACCTAGTAACCCCGTCCCCTTTTGAACGGCTCTCGGAAAGGAACGGAGCCATAAGATCCGGCTCCCTTCAAAGAGCCGTAATTCCCATCATTAATCTCCAGGCAGTTAATACTGTCACTGAGTGGATCCTTCACTCACAATATCACTCATGTCTGGTGAAGGAGAACTGGTGTCAATCTGGCAAGGAGGACAGCGTTGTTCTGCATCCATAAGACGAGGAAACACACTTCAGTATGTCATGATTGATTCCTCAATTTAATTTAAATGCTAATTTGGTTTTGATGGCAGTCTTGGGGCTCTTCACTCTCAATGGTGAGATGCAGTCTTGTTTTAGTTATTGTATTTCATTAAGGATTAGTACGATCCTGTTTATTCTCATAAAGTAACACATGGAGGGCTAAACTGAAACAGACAGAATACTAAGAACAATTAGCTAAATAAGGGATAATATGGCAAGGCAGTCATTAAAGAAAAAAGACCACCTCTAGTGTTTACTTCCTCTCTGTCTTCTTCTGCTGTTCCCTTTAGTGTTTACTTCCTCTCTGTCTTCTTCTGCTGTTCCCTTTAGTGTTTACTTCCTGTCTGTCTTCTTCTGCTGTTCCCTTTAGTGTTTACTTCCTGTCTGTCTTCTTCTGCTGTTCTCCTTAGTGTTTACTTCCTTTCTGTCTTATTCTGCTGTTCCCTTTAGTGTTTACTTCCTGTCTGTCTTCTTCTGCTGTTCCCTTTAGTGTTTACTTCCTGTCTGTCTTTTTCTGCTGTTCCCTTTAGTGTTTACTTCCTGTCTGTCTTCTTCTGCTGTTCTCCTTAGTGTTTACTTCCTTTCTGTCTTATTCTGCTGTTCCCTTTAGTGTTTACTTCCTCTCTGTCTTCTTCTGCTGTTCCCTTTAGTGTTTACTTCCTCTCTGTCTTCTTCTGCTGTTCCCTTTAGTGTTTACTTCCTGTCTGTCTTCTTCTGCTGTTCCCTTTAGTGTTTACTTCCTGTCTGTCTTCTTCTGCTGTTCTCCTTAGTGTTTACTTCCTTTCTGTCTTATTCTACTGTTCCCTTTAGTGTTTACTTCCTGTCTGTCTTCTTCTGTTGTTCCCTTTAGTGTTTACTTCCTCTCTGTCTTCTTCTGCTGTTCCCTTTAGTGTTTACTTCCTGTCTGTCTTCTTCTGTTGTTCCCTTTAGTGTTTACTTCATCTCTGTCTTCTTCTGTTGTTCCCTTTAGTGTTTACTTCATCTCTGTCTTCTTCTGTTGTTCCCTTTAGTGTTTACTTCCTCTCTGTCTTCTTCTGCTGTTCCCTTTAGTGTTTACTTCCTGTCTGTCTTCTTCTGTTGTTCCCTTTAGTGTTTACTTCCTTTCTGTCTTCTTCTGTTGTTCCCTTTAGTGTTTACTTCCTGTCTGTCTTCTTCTGTTGTTCCCTTTAGTGTTTACTTCATATCTGTCTTCTTCTGTTGTTCCCTTTAATGTTTACTTCCTGTCTGTCTTCTTCTGTTGTTCCTTTTAGTGTTTACTTCCTGTCTGTCTTCTTCTGTTGTTCCCTTTAGTGTTTACTTCTTGTCTGTCTTCTTCTGTTGTTCCCTTTAGTGTTTACTTCCTGTCTGTCTTCTTCTGATGATTTCTCTGACGTCCAGCTGTCTGTCTTGTATCCTCTCTCCTTCTCTTGTTCTCTTATTCTTTTCTTTACTGTGAACAGTTTTGCCATTCAAAAATTATTCCGAAGTGTTTTCTGATTAAATTAACAATCTCAGGAATGTCCAAATTGACCAATTAGAGTCAAGTATCCCAGTAAGCTGTGCAATAAATGATAATAAAGGACTTGCTGTTGCATGCAAAACCACTCTGCGACTTATAAAGTCTATCCCCTCTCCACGAATATGGCTCATTAAGATATCGATCCAGGACTTAAAGATGATACATTGAATCATTCATGTGTTTTATAATGTTGGAGAAGAAGGTACAGAGCGAGGATAATAAGATAAGAAAGTGAAAGATATCAAAGAAATAAGAGAGACAAGAGGTTGAACAGAAGAAGCTCTTTGCTCCTTATGGGGAGTCATTTGACTTTGGGTCACATCATTTCATTGATTCCTGATATAAAATGACACCAGATGGTATTTCATGAGCACTTGCTTTGCTAAATGTCAGTACGGTCTCAGGTTAAGGCCTCTCGCTGAAATCAAACCCTTTAATAATAATACAAAAGATCTCGTAAAGAAGAGAAAAAGTAAACTTCTAAATCTCTTATTACATTACATTACATGTCACTTGTTAGACGCTTTTATCCAAAGCGACTTACACACATTCAGTACTGTGGACAATCCCCACAGGAGCAATTTTGGGGTGAAGTGTCTCAGGGACACAGCGACATGCTGACTGCAGTGGGACTCAAACTTGCTATTCCCTGATTCAAAGTTCAGCGCACCAAATTATGCGCACTATCCCACTGAGCCACAGCCTCCTTATTCTGCTATTTTCTACTATCCTCAAACTCCATTTCCTTTCAGTCACTTAAAGAAACATTTAACTCACCAGATTCATAGCTGATCTACAGATGTGGCGCCGCTACTCCATACAGCTCAACAATATTTATATTTATAAGTCAAGAAGCACGCGGTAAATCCAAGCGTCTGTCTGAGTGTCCTTTGCACCGTGAAACTGCATGTACTGTACAGACACAATAAACACAGTGGGGCAAAGATACACCAGGAAGTAGCTATGCAGGATTATAGGGATGGTTTTAGATCAGGCAGTTTGGGTCTGATCTAAAACATAAAGTGATTTCCTACTTTATTATATTTTGAATAATCCCTTATCCCCAGAGCCTTTAACATCCATGTCTTAATCTAAAAGCAGGAGGTATTGGATTATAAGCATGGTCTCTGTGTGCTTGGATCTTTCCAAGTTTAGATCCATTCTGTTTAGGAAGACAAAAGCACTCCCAGTGAATTAAACTTGCATGAATTTAAATAAAGAAATAAAGCTTTGGTCCAAAAATAATCAACACAGAAAGAGAGGTCATTTTTGTCGAAGCCTGTCTGGGTTTATCTGGTGGTTTTGTGGAATATTTATTTACATTTACAAGCAAAAAGCACTCTGATTGTCTTTATTAGATTTTAATTTTTTACTCAAGCTTTGACTCTGCATAGAAGCAATTAGTCAATAGACAGAGACATCAATTAATGGATTAATTTAATCGTTATCAAGGACATAAAAAGGCCAATCATTCTCCAGTTTGAGGTTTTTCTTAGGCATTGAATCACTGTAAAGATAATGTCTTTGGGATTTTGAAAGGTGTCTAAGGACATTTTTCTTCACTACTGTCTGTCTGTCTGTCTGTCTGTCTGTCTTATTGTCTGTCTGTCTGTCTGTCTGTCTGTCTGTCTTATTGTCTGTCTGTCTGTCTGTCTGTCTGTCTGTCTGTCTTATCGTCTGTCTGTCTGTCTGTCTGTCTGTCTTATTGTCTGTCTGTCTGTCTGTCTGTCTTATTGTCTGTCTGTCTGTCTGTCTGTCTGTCTGTCTGTCTTATCGTCTGTCTGTCTGTCTTATCGTCTGTCTGTCTGTCTGTCTGTCTTATCGTCTGTCTGTCTGTCTGTCTGTCTGTCTGTCTGTCTTATCGTCTGTCTGTCTGTCTGTCTGTCTTATTGTCTGTCTGTCTGTCTGTCTGTCTGTCTTATCGTCTGTCTGTCTGTCTTATCGTCTGTCTGTCTGTCTGTCTGTCTTATCGTCTGTCTGTCTGTCTGTCTGTCTTATCGTCTGTCTGTCTGTCTGTCTGTCTGTCTTATCGTCTGTCTGTCTGTCTGTCTGTCTTATCGTCTGTCTGTCTGTCTGTCTGTCTGTCTTATCGTCTGTCTGTCTGTCTGTCTGTCTGTCTTATCGTCTGTCTGTCTGTCTGTCTGTCTTATCGTCTGTCTGTCTGTCTGTCTGTCTATTTTAACGTCTGTCTGTCTGTCTGTATATCTTAACGTCTGTCTGTCTGTCTGTCTGTCTGTATATCTTAACGTCTGTCTGTCTGTCTGTCTCTCTGTCTGTCTGTCTGTCTGTCTATTTTAACGTCTGTCTGTCTGTCCGTCTCTCTTAGTGCACAGGAACAGGTGAGATTTCAACAGCATGAGCCATAAAAACCTGCAGGACTGTCCAAAGAGCACCAAGTGACTAACAACTATGTAACCACTGTCACTGAGAAGACAGAGTCATTCATTCATTGCAAAATCGATGCCACTTCTCACATTCACGCAAATATACTGCACTTCCAAAAAAAACATCATATCCAACGTATACAATTTGGGGAGCAGCCACTTCTGAGAAAATCTGTACTTTGTTTGAGAAAAGAATAGGAAAATAAATGGAGGACAAATTGTAAAAACCACTGTTGATAATTAACGTGTTCTTGATTACAAGTCTCCCTAAAAGTATTGCAAATGTACGCACAGAGGAAAACAAATAATCTGCACGCTTCATACTACCTAAAGCAAAGAAGTAACATTTCCCTAAAAGATGTTTGATGATGCTTTCAAGGAGCTCATGTCTTGAGAAAAATGGAAATCATGTGACCGTGCTGTAGTTCCTTTATAGCCCAACATTAGCCGCCTTTAGCTTAGCGGTGGTGACGTGAAGTCATGTGACCGTGCTGTAGTTCCTTTATAGCCCAACATTAGCCTCCTTTAGCTTAGTGGTGGTGACGTGAAGTCATGTGACCGTGCTGTAGTTCCTTTATAGCCCAACATTAGCCGCCTTTAGCTTATGTGGTGGTCTAATGGATAGTGAGGTGGGCTGATGATAGGAAGGTTGTGAGTTCAAATCCCGCCAGGAACACTAGTGTGCCCTTGAGTAAGGCACTTAGTCCTTAGTTACTCCAGGGAGAATGTCCCTGTAATTGGTAATTGTAAGTCGCTTTGGATAAAAGCGTCAGCTAAATGAAATGTAATGTAATGTTATGTATTACATTCTTAAGCAATACCTCCACCATCCTCTAACATAGATACTTAACTTTCTCTCACCACAATTCAGCCTCTCGTTGTGAATTATTGAACACATGCCATATTTTCTACAACCTTACACCCCCGATATTTGAATGAGTCATGGCTGACAGCCTGCTTCCTCTCGTTCAGGTCGTCTGGAACAAAGTCCATGCTGCTTAACCTTTATAATACTGGAGATCACATGCTGGTGCTATTGGCTAATACTTCAAGGTGAATGAAGGAACAATGATTATTCTTTCCCTCCCCCCAGGTGTTTTTATTATCCTTCAATGCGGAAGAAATAAACGACAGTTAAGCCTTCAGTCTGACGGCCATAAATCAGAAACCTTCCACAACCGCTGTGTTGGTGTGTTAATGGTATTCAGGAAACCAGCCTCCACGAGTGCATCATCACCCTAACTGCCAAGTGGCAAACAGTCTATTTCCCTTCTGAGCAAGTGAAATATAAAGCAATAAGAGCCATCAAAGCTTCACGACTAAAATATAACGCTCGTCAAGGTACTCATACGAGCTCTGTGACTGCCAGTAAGAAAGTGTAGGCGACTAATACGACACACTTAAGGATAAAAAAGGTTCAAATATCAACACCCAATGAAATAATATTAACATTGTCACATTAATTCAGTCATTATAAATGAATGAACACGGTCAGTTTACAGTAGAGGAACATTCCTGAACATTCCTGAATAATAATAATTATAATGACATCTCTATGCAACACTCATGCTCCTATTGGCCAGCGCTCCAACACATTGCACGTGATAGGCTAAGGGGCGGGACATCTCTAAGCCGGTTGACCAATCACAACAGAGCCGGCCAGCGAACCAATCAGAGCAGACTGGGCTCTGGTTTCAGACAGAGGGTGAAAAGAGGTGCTGCAGCACAGGCAGTATGAGAAAAATAAAGAGCTTTTTGAACATTAAAGCATGGAGACATGTAGAGACACTACATACTGATATACACCTGAACATCATCAGGAGAGGACTCTTTAAAGTAGAGACACTACAGACTGATATACACCTGAACATCAGCAGGAGAGGACTCTTTAAAGTAGAGACACTACATACTGATATACACCTGAACATCAGCAGGAGAGGACTCTTTAAAGTAGAGACACTACATACTGATATACACCTGAACATCAGCAGGAGAGGACTCTTTAAAGTAGAGACACTACATACTGATATACACCTGAACATCAGCAGGAGAGGACTCTTTAAAGTAGAGACACTACATACTGATATACACCTGAACATCAGCAGGAGAGGACTCTTTAAAGTAGAGACACTACATACTGATATACACCTGAACATCAGCAGGAGAGGACTCTTTAAAGTAGAGACACTACATACTGATATACACCTGAACATCAGCAGGAGAGGACTCTTTAAAGTAGAGACACTACATACTGATATACACCTGAACATCAGCAGGAGAGGACTCTTTAAAGTAGAGACACTACATACTGATATACACCTGAACATCAGCAGGAGAGGACTCTTTAAAGTAGAGACACTACATACTGATATACACCTGAACATCAGCAGGAGAGGACTCTTTAAAGTAGAGACACTACATACTGATATACACCTGAACATCAGCAGGAGAGGACTCTTTAAAGTAGAGACACTACATACTGATATACACCTGAACATCAGCACGAGAGGACTCTTTAAAGTAGAGACACTACATACTGATATACACCTGAACATCAGCAGGAGAGGACTCTTTAAAGTAGAGATGTCACAGTAGGAGCACAATATATCCTGTTTAAATGGAATAAACATATATATATATGAAACAAAAAATCAAGCGAGGTTAACTAGTCAGTCTGACGTTGTTCAGACACAAAGCAAAGTCATTGTTAGAGCTGACATCAATAAAGCACTAATTTATGAAGACAGGCTTCATAACTCTGACTCATAAACATTTGAAAATGACACGAGTGAAAAGTCTTGAAATGTTGACTTTACTAAATAGATACCGACTGCAGTTCACTAAAGTTGGCAAAAAAAAAAGCAAAGTAAAATGTCCCTTTGAGTTTGACACAACTATCTTAATTGCTACTGTGTTTTTTAAATGAGCTCCTCTTGTTAAATAAAGATTCTTTCATTAACTTCTCGACAACCCACATTCATAGTGTTTAAATGGCTTGTTTTATCCAACCCAAGTGTATTAGATTTACAGTGAAAGTCAATATCAACAAAGCACATTTTAAAGCAGCCAATGTGTGTTGTTTTCTGGATGAACTATTAATTGGTTAAACTTCTCTCCCTGCAGCTGGCGGTTCGGCTCCACCCTCTGACATTAAACCCAACAAGATGAACTCTGCCTCGGAGGAATTGTTTGTAAACTGAAAATCCAATAAAGACTTTATTAAAGGTGGCCATTAAAAGTGACGGAGAGCCCTATAAACACAGAGTGATCTCGCCGGGGAGCCAGCATGAGTTCCAGCCCCATTAACCTTAACGTTTCTGCAGCATGGAGAGGAGCATGTAGGTCACACACACACACACACACACACACACACACACACACACACACACACACACACACACACACACACACACACACAACACACACACACACACACACACACACACACACACACACACACACACACACACACACACATCACACACACACACACACACACACACAA